GACCAAATATGCCGATCGCCGACAATCCCACCAAAAATTCGGAGCTACCCAAGCCTGAAGATGGGGACCCAACTGCCGAGACTTCGAGCGCATCGGTCAGGCGGCGATGAAGCCGATCCCCCTCCCCCTCCCCCTCCGACCGTCCCCCAGTTCGAGCCCGTACCGATGCGGGTCATCGGGCTTCGTCCCCGGTCTTTATCCCGTCGTCCCCTTGATCACTTCACCCTCCGCCAGATCACTACCCGTGTCACCTTCCCCCGTAATCCCTTCCCGATTGATACCTTCCGATATTTCTACGCCACCCGCCTTGTTGTCACTGTTCAACCCCACCGCTCGACTCGGTGTGCCCTACCCGACTTCTGTGTTCATGCCCTCCTCTTCAGTGCCGCGTGGCGAGGCCACAATATCGTCGGGGTTCATTGCATGATCACGGGGACTATCCTCGCATGTGAGAACCACGATCGATTCCGTGTGGCACTCTTCCGAACCTTCGCCACCCTCTACCCTGACTATCTCGCCTCCCTCCCTCATAGCGGTAATCGATTCCCTTGCTTCCACCAGATCGTCCGATATCATGAGCTTTCGGAGACAGTCGCGGGGTTGGAACGCTTTCTACCCCCACTTCCGACTAACCCTCCCCCTCGCCATGCCCCCATGTATCGTCTCCCTTTTCCCCTCCCCGGCGGACATTGATGCTTGGTTGATTGGTGCGTGCCACGGCGATGGCACAAATAATCCCCTCCTTGGATTGAAGAGAGTCCCTTCTGAGGAAATTGTAGAACCGAGCCTCGTATGCCACGTTGGCTGACTTCCACACTCTTTCATACGGGTAAGTGGCAACGAAGAAAGCTCCGCGTGATGATCGATTAGAGAGATCGACACGTGTCATGACTCAAGCAAGCAGGAGCTTGCTTAAGATTGGAACCCCCTGGGGTCACATATGTAACGAACCGATTTCTGTTCCGCGCGATTTTCTGCGCGAAAGCAATGAGGGGTCCTAAGCTGGGAAGGATGGGTCAAGTACAGGAGATCAAGTTTGAGGGAAAATTGCATCATTGTCCTTGCTTTTTCGTCTTTTCTCTTTCATCGCTTCTTTTCGAATGACCGGATTCAGGGTCGGGCAAGTCCCGGGATGATTGATTGAGTTGCTGTCGCGCCGACCACACGCGATTGATAAGGGTTGACGTTGCTTCTTTTCTGTGCTGTTGTCGGATTTTAGGCGCAGAAACCGCGCAGGAATTTTTGCTTCGTTCTTTTTGAATTTTCTTTTTGAATCTTGTCGAGCCCCAATGACTCTCGTAATTTCGGATTTTCCTTTCGAAATTCGTGTTTTTCGCTTTTTCTGCATTAGATAGGAATTTATGAATTTAGGAATTTGGGATTTTCTTTTGCCACGCAACGCTTTTTGCTTACGCGCTTCTTTTTGCGGCTGCAACAGAGCTCTGATTAGTCGGCGCCCTTAATCGTGTGTGTAACTGTAATTTAGGGTGGGCACCATTGTAACTGTATCTTTCTTCTTGAACTTCGTCTTTCCCGCTCTCCCTTTTCCTTCTTTCGCTGTGCCTAGTTAGCCCGCGGCCTGCATGCTCGGATCGATGCGTGGAGAGAGGCTACGTCCCCCACGTCACGATCTGGCCATGCAGAATGCAGGCGCTCCCTCTCCTAATGTCCTTTCTAAGTCCTTCCAATCCCGTGTTTGTCGCGCATGCATGCACGCTATAAATTCCGACTGCGCGATTAGATAGCTCTCTTAACCAATTGTTGGAAGCTCGGGGAGCGCGATCAGTGAGGGTCGGCTCGCGAGCGAAGTAAGAGGTGAGTTGAAGTGGAAGTCGGACGACCCGACGGGCTGGTGCCGAACGCGCGGGGTTGACGCGGGCCACGACGGACTGTGGGCGCGGGCGAATCTGACGGGTGCGGGAGGACTAAGAGGGGTGACGACTTCGTGGGTTGGTGTGTGACGACGGACTGTCCACATCGGAGAGGAAGAGAGAAGAAGAGGGAGATGAGGTTGATGAACGTGGTTTGCAATTTTCTTTGTCTTGTCTCCCTCCTTGCTTTTGTATATAAATTTTGATCTCGGCTCAGGGCGATTCGCCCGTTTTCTTTTTGCTTTCGGAATCTTGGTTTGGTTTCCGCCCACACTCGTTTTTGCGATTGATCTCAATCTCGTTTATCGTGTGTTATGTCGAATGAATGGATGAATGGATGTTATGTCTGTTTGCTTTTCTTTTGTCTGGTCCTTGCTTTTGCTTGTCCTTTTGATACACTCATGAGCATAGTAGAAACTCCTGCGTAGTCGTCATTACTCTTTCCATTGCTGTTTATTCTTTTTGAGCCACCATTGTTGCTGCGATGCCTGATAGCTCAGGAACGATTGCGGGGGGATCACGGAGTGATTAGATGATTGGGTAGCTGTCTGACCAGAAACAGGCGAGTACCTCGCTGGGATGTGTGTAAGCGCGATCTGATATGCGCAGCCTACACGTATCCACGCGCGCTGATTCGTGACCATTGGCAAAATTGACGCCTTCGATATCGGGTAGACAGGAATTGTCCTTCCCCCCCCACGCACCTAAACAAAAAGGAATTCCGATATCACGTCGGAATATCCCCTTGCCGATTAGACGTGTGTGGAAGAATTTCCTCACGCAATGATAAGATGCCGAACTCCTGGACTCGGAGTACTTCGCCCCTTGGGTGAGGGAATGCATTAGGCAAAGATATCTGAGATTCCCCTGCCTAACCGAGAATCGATTGTGCCCCAGGGAGTTTCACTGTGCCACGACCAGCGATCGTGGGTGCCCCGATTTTCCCACTTCGGACAACACACAATACTTCATATCCCCCGGCTTCGTCGTTATGTCCACCAATTTCCCTCCCTCCCGTCTCCTCCTCCCGTATCACCAAGTCATGGTGGTTCCGTGGAATTCCGTCGCCCCGTACTGGCCCCGCACGCCCTGCGGAAATTGCCAGCGACGCGGCAACCAACGAGCCCCTGAAAAAGGGCCCAACCAGAACGCGCGACAACAGACGCCACGTACCGGCACCCAAAGATCCGACTCATCAGGGACACAGCTATCCCGGGCGGGTCCCTCCCCGAACCGCCGCCACCAAAACAAACGAATCGGACGGCCTTGACTGCACCGCGCATGCTATCTGCCTTATGCTGCACGACATCCAACGCTTCAGACTGAAAGTAACTCGCCCTTAGCCCTATCGCATCTATGCCCCTGAAAATTTGCCACAGGAGATCTCAGTTCCGACCTGGGACTCCACCCCCACATTCCCAAAAATCCTTGGCACACCCCTTTTCGCACTTCCAAGCCCACATCACACTCCGATCAAGAAGTCGCGCTGGGCATGAGGTTTGGGCGTCACAAGTGGGCTTTGTTTTTCATCCACGTAGCTATTTCTGGTGAGGATGCCACATAAGTCACCAGGTTCCTTGCTTCATTATGAAACAAACCTCTTATCGATGGTGCGTATATGGACTTGGCAGAAGCCCACCCGTCCTCGTAGATACGGACCAAATTGCGTTTGACTCCGACGGGGAGGGATGTGGAATCATCACCAAAAAGCACCGTAACTGCATGGTCTTGGACTTGGAGTTTATAGAGTTCCTTAGTAATTTTAACTCTAATGTAGCCCTCGTCCCTCTCTACTATATTCGGGGCTAATTTTTTGGGCAATATGCCATTCGAATAGCATTTACTCAGTGTTTCCCTAATACGGGATATGTCTGAGTCCTCCTTCAATAGGGGAGGGTATGGGGGGTTAGATGAGGCAGCAGGCAGGGTGGGGGGGGGTCGTTGACCGCTCCACTTCCGCCATTCTGCCTGAAATAACCCTACCCGTTCCCAATCCTAGCAATAAGAGAAACAGTAATAACAAGCGCATACAGAGGCTTCCACAATCAGGGAACAAGAAGAATGCACTCCCCCCGGCCCCCAAGTTTTAATGGATTACCATTACCTTAGGAAGACGTCTGCAGAGTCCTGGTCGTTGAAATCAAGCACATGTCCCTCATCGGGGCCGAAGATTGTTGGTTTCCGAAAAACAAACGCCTGACGCAGCGGCAGCGGGGCTTCTCTGACACGGAGTCACCATTCTCAACCGGCGTTTCTTGACAAGTCCGACAAGTCCGACGCGTCGGACAATCGGCCTGAGTCTCCTTCCTCGGGACTGCCGAAGACGACGCCTCCTTCCCCTCGCGCGTGTCGGGTGGACCTGTGCCAGGAAAAGGCACGAGCCGAACCCTAACGCCGCTCTGCCCTACTGTCTCGCCCTAACGCACCGCTTCGTAACGCATTCAAAGCCATTTTCTGTGCGTGACCAATTGCCGCCAAGAGTCTTGAGGAATACTTCTCTGGACCCAAGAGCCGCGCAGTGGACGCACCCATGAACTGTTGAAAATACAGACCCGTGTTCGAATCCAGATGCTGGAACTTGATGAGTGAAGTTGTAAAACCAACTATTTATGAATTGCCTGGGCCCGGTCAGCTTAACGATGATATCTCAAGGCCGTCGCCCTTCACAAAAAAAAAAATCCAGCGGCCTAGCTCAGTTGGTAAGGCACGCAAGTGGCATTCAGGAGGTCTTGGGTTCAATCCCCATTGGCCTCATGTACCTTCCTGGGCATGCTTGGCACCCGCCACCTAGAGATAGCCCGTTGGTCCCCCCAATTGGCATTAAAAAGCAGTCTCTGCTGATGTTCATAGGGGGAGGGGTACTCGGGGAGACACAGCGACTGGCCAGTCAGATGATGCTCGGTCCCGCTGCTACCGGTTGTCCCCTGGCCAGTGCCCCCAGTGGGGGATCCCTGAAGGCTATCAGGCCAGCCTAAGGCTATCAGGCCACCTTTGTCAGATTAGACACAAGATTGAATTTTTTTTTTTTTTTTTTTTTCGGGAAAAGGCTGAAGATCCATTATCAAAGTTCAACAAACTTTGAGGCCGGGAATCCTCAACAAACAACCCGGTAGGTGACTGAACACCAGGCTCATTGCCCAGCTTTGGTTAACCAATCAGTGAGCAGCTTAGGCTACGCTAGCTGTACTGTACTTCCCAGTATCGAGCTCTCTGCTCTTCGTAAGAACCCCACCCCTGAATCTACCCCGCTGAAAACAATCAACCAGCGGGAAACAGAAAACAGGCCTAACACGACCTGAGACTTCCCTGAGGAAAAAAACACAGACACTCCTTCCCCACTAACCAACCAAGCACAAAGCCCAACAACCAAATTACCCAGCACCAAAACCAACACCTCCTAGACTGCCTGCCCAACGGCAGCGGGGGGTTCATAATTGATTGGGCAGGAAGCATGGTGATCAACGATGAGTCGATTGTCGACGTTGACGTTGACCACGCAAGGGTATAAGTACCTTTCTGCGTTGACAAGAATAGGAGTGGCAGAAGGTACTTAGCCCACTCCCGATCCAAAGCTTTCGCATTCGTAGGCTGTCTGCTTCTCTTGCCCGTGGTACTGTCCCATTGACCCTGTTGGATGCTTGACTCTCGATGAGGCGAATGTTGGTCCTCCAATTCTTGGATTCGAAGTTCACTCATGTCTTCACTGAGTCTTCGACGCAGCTTGGTTGGCGTCAGCCTTGGGTTCCCGCTCTCCTGTTTTGAACCTTGCGACTTCTCTGGACCCCCTCCCTGCGAGGAGGGAATATTCCCAGCATCCTTGCGCCCTCGAGCCGCCACTGAGTCCACACGTTGACTTCTCCTTGCAGCATGTAGCAGGGCATCCATATTGCCCATACCAGGTGAAAACATAGGATTCTCTCTCATCGATACGCCCTGGGGCTGATCTGGAGTGCCGCCTCCGCCAACACTCCCGGGCGCCAGCTTTCCTTTGTACGTAGGTTGTTTACTCCGACGCTCTACTAACTCCACTGGGGATTTGCCTCGAGATGACGACTTATGAGATCTAACAGAGCGCCCGCCCGAACGGCTTGCCGAAGGCTGCCGATCCCTCCCTTGACTGGACCTGGGGCTGCTCGGCGAATTACGCCGGCCACTGCCTTCGCTGGGTGGTACGCTTGACGATGCGCTCGAAGAGGAACTTGGAGTCGGACTTTGCTGCCGATGCGGACTTGAGCCGCGGCGCCGTCTCGTACGTATGCAGTCCTCCGCTCGGTGAAAATATCTTCTGCACGTACTGCACCAGGGAGTCAAAGCGTTCGCCACCTTCAACTCGATAAGTTGACCCTGGTACGTAGTGAAGGAGATTAACTCCTTCACTCTTGGCAGAAAATCCACATCAATATCCATTCGAACATTGATTAACTGTGGGGTACGTGCATCCTTCTCTGACGGATACACCTTCTGTACTGTACCTATTGCTTGTTCCACCGACGACTCGAGATAGCAGAAGGCATCCAACGGGACATCCAAAATACGTATCCAGAAATAATTCCTATCCGCCTCGTTCTTAGCCTCCTGGATCTCCACCTTGGTCATCCAAGGTTTAAATATGATGCTGTGCCATCTCCCTCTAAGCGAGACTCGAGCTTCCTGTTCCTCTAACATCCACTCCACAACTTTCCAGTCCTTTGCAACGTACGATAGCACATTGCTCGACTCAATGCACACCCGGCCTCTAGTGATCGTTGAATCAAACCTGCCCTCTCCAATCCAGATATTCTCAAACGCTCTGATTACATCTTCCTTGATCTTTTTCGGAAGGTTTTTTGAACCTTCCTGGAAGATCACTGTAACCGTCCTCTCTTTTAACCACTTCACCTTAATTTCGTCCAGTGAAGGATTCAAAGTGAAATGGGCGTTCTGACCCTCCTCTTTCATTTCGCCTATATCCCATCCTGAGGGTAACATGCCTGCATCAAAGCATCTAGACAACATATCTCGAACACGCTCCTCTTCAATCCAATAATTAGTTTGCGAGGGAGGAGGAGAACGGTTTTGCTTGTCCGTTTCCTCTTCCCCTCCTGCTTGAGGACCGGGCGTGGCAGTACCTTCTGCACCCACCATGGCTATATCTCCTCCTATAGGTGGGACCGCACCCTTAGGGATACTCTGAAGGCCTTCGACCTCCATCGAAGCCATGCTCTGGAAGTCCAACGCACCTCAGCTTGTGTTCCTACTTCCGATTCACCTTTCGGCAATAACAGTGCCCTAATCTCCTGGGACAAACTTCTCCAACTTGTTTGAGGTCAAGCCAAAATCCGTAACCGAGAAACACGCCTTGGTTGTAATTAACCGCCGGTTGATACAGAGAACACGATCTAGGTGGATTGCTAGGGCTAGCCTATCAGCACTATAGAGTCAGACATGGCTGAGCTTCAAGTGCATGAGAACTCACGCAACCTTACCATGGCGGCAGACCGTCAGCGGCTAGACCGGCAGAAGCTGGTAGCGGCGGAACCGAGCGCTGATTTTGCGCTGCGAACCGGCGCCCCCCCGACCTCAATCGTTTTGCCCGTTTTCCGCTCAAGATTGAATTTACCTGGGCTGGTTAGTCAAAACAGAAAAAAAAAAAAAAAAAAAAAAAAGG